CACCACACTGAGCATTGGATCACACTGGACAGAGCCCAGAGGAAAACAAAACAATACAGTTCTCTCTGATGTTAGATCAGACTTTGGATCATTTGTGTTGGTAAATCTGGTCTGGAAGCTTTCTGGTCTTTCTGGTCTTGCTCTTTGTATCCACCATGTTTACTCCCTTTTGCTTGTCCTGTCCCTCAAATGGTTTTAGAAAACGTCAGTTTGATTATGTTTCTTATCTCAATGGCAGGAAACCTTCATGTTAACTTCATGGGGTTTGGTTCACAGTTCATTTTTAGAATATTTTTTCTGAGGATACGTGGGGACTACACACTTAAGGGCAATGGTGTAACTGTTGTTTATGTGGCAAATTTCTCGTTGTACATTTCAATCATATGTGGAATGTCACCCAGGTATGCAGAGGATATGTAATAAGACAACTGACGTTGGGCAGAAAACTGGCCTGGCGAGGGAAAAAAAGACCGTCATGGCCTGTGTAAGCAGAGTGGCAGCAGAGAACATTGATACAGGCCACTTTTCTGTGACCTGCTCCATTAAGAGGCCAAGTTAATCTGATAAGATACAAATTTACAGGCACTGTGTGTCTTTCTGTGGTTAAAAAGTTAACTAGAACAGTGAGTGTTCTGTTTTGACCTTGACAAGCCCTTTTGAGCAGTCATAGACATGGCCCTTAATGTGAGGTATCATTTTATTTGGAATCTACATCTCATGAGCAGCTCTTTAATGAAACCTTGAAATTTAAATGGCCTCTTGGTGTTTTCATGTCCTTAGAACCACTTCATAATTTGAGTAATGTGTAATGCAGTAGCTTTGTCTGTTGTAAGGCACTTATTCTCTTTACTATTTCTTTGTGATTTGCTGTCTTTCTTAGTTAATAAACTCTGAGATGCACCAAAATAGGAGTGCGAATGGGAAAACATGATAAAATGGTTACAAGTTAAACTGGGGTTCTATAGATTTACATGACTCAGAGCCCCAGTGCCCCTTGCCCTTGCCTTCTGCAAACTCAACAATCTTCCCCTTTTCAGTGTCCTCTACTTGCACACATACAGGAACACATGCTCTTCAGTTGCTTGTCCAGCCAACCCTGATGACTGGCTGTTTGTTTGTGTGGAGGAATTTACACTCCACTGTGTATAGGGCAACTGATTCCCTGTGGTCTTGCATCCCTGGCTGGCCTCCAGAGGTTTGTTTGGTATTGCTGGTGGTAGTAGTGATGGGAGGGAACTGGGAGATATTTTTACAGCACTGTTCAGCCCCTTGAGCAATGGTCAAATATCCATGCTCATTTGGATGCTGAAGAATTGAGCAAGGCTAACCATACATTATGAGGCTGCCGGTCAGCAGTAGAATGTAGATTTTCACATATATGATGATCTAGATGACCTTGACTACCTATTAAAGAAGAAAATTACAATGATATTGGGTTATCTTAGGGTAGGGTAATCTCATTCTTGGTTATATTGAGTAGATTTATTCTCTGCTTCTCTGATCTAGCCAGAGGACATAATTATCTAGAATGAAAACATTTAAATAAAAACCAGGCATGTCCTCCAGAAGCAGCTTCACTTTTTAATTAAATCATCACCTTTAACAGTTTTTAAAATCACTATACACTGCTGGCTCAATGAAAACTCTAAACAATAAGAACTTTGTTAATATTTGAGCGTAGCTAAAATGAGGGTATGGGAGGTTAGGAAAAGCTTGCTGGAAGGTGGACTCACTCTTTCACACAATAAACCCTATTGCCAGGGGAGAATGTGCTCATAGTGTTGCTCAGTATCATGTATACAGAGATCTTATGGAAACGGACGTGTGTGCATGTGAACGGCATTAAATAAGAACTTTGAGGGGGGCAGTGAAATGACTTCACACATGAACAACAGATATAACTCTCCAGGGGAGGATTTTACAAGCTTTTACACAGGCTGCCGCATGTTACTCAAAATAAAAATTATTTCATTGTTGTAGCATTTGAGCCGTAATCAGATTTGCTAGTACATCAAGGTAGTAGTTATACAAAATGTTAAGGACATGGAAAATGGATCTGATTTAAAGTTTCCAGTTTAAATCACAAGTTATAAAGTGTCAAACAGTAACATTACATACTGCTTTCTGCTTTGGTCTGTACACAAATGTCATAAAAGCCCTTTATTGTTTTTGTTTAACATCCACACTGATATAATTGTAACAGATGTTCACACATGCTCAAAATGTTTTTACATGCACAGATATTTTCTACACGTGTGCACAAATGGGAATTTCTCATGCATGCAGGTTTACCGGTTTACACAAAAGTTGAATTGCAACTACAAACTTACTTTACAAGCTCAACATTTTTATCACCGTAATTTGAGCCCATATTAGAGCTCCATTGCAGGATCATCCCCCCGGGGAACTGCTTGGTTTAGCAGAGTCACTGGCCCCAGTCAGACCTGCTCCATCAAGAAGAATTTGGGAAAGCTAATTACTAATTGATGAATAGACACAAAAGTTGTGACAAAGGGAAACCAGATGAACTCCATTTAGCTTTCTTGAACTGAGGAGGATTTTGAGGTAATGGGTAAAAATTTGCGTTAATACTATACTGTAGCTGTGATTTTTATTTTGAGCGTGAACAGGGGTTAGGGAATGGACATAAAATTAAAATGAGCCAGGGAAGCCCAAGGGTTTGAATGTAGTCTGAAATGAATGTGCTCATTGTGCCAGTATCAGCACAGACAGTCTTGTATTTCCTGATGACAGCCATTATATAAACTCATAATCAGGGTGCTAATATGATGTTTTCCTTTCTGTTTTAGGGAGTGGAGCCACAGCAGTGGTTCAAGCAGCCTACTGTATACCACGCAAGGAGAAGGTGGCCATCAAACGCATCAATCTAGAGAAGTGCCAAACCAGCATGGATGAACTTCTGGTAAGACCTACCACTAAATGCACATTAGACTGAGCACTATGAGATCATGTTACATTTGATGAGTAATCAAAGGTAGAGAAGGAGTTCATTTAAGACTCTGGTATGTGTGTATGTATGGAGTCAGCTCAATCTCTGCTTTTCATTACTCGTTCTCTCCAAGTCCTCGTCCAATCATCTCTGTCATGAAAATCACTATTCTGGTTGGTCTTTAAAAGGGAACTCTGTATACTGCCAGGAAGCTATTGGACCACAGAAGGGACATCTTACTGAAGACTGTATTGTGCCTTTATACCCTCAGTGCAATCTTGCACCACAGCTCAGCACATCATTTACTGTATGACATGTTCTACGATTAAGCTTGAGAGGTGGAAGGATTTTATGAAACTCCCCTGCACATAGAGATGATCAGGTGCTCGTTTGTGGTTTGTGTTCTGGCTTTGTAAATGGCAAAATGTTTCTTATATATAATATGAATTTATCACACATCATTTTTAAAATGTGTAATTGTTTTACAGTTAGCACAGAATTTACCCAACTGTTGTTCCAGTTTAAACCTTTTTTTGGTGAAGCACAGTAGCTATCACTTTCCCTTTTGTTACCGAACACCCAGAGACACCAGACCTCATGATTGTATGTGACACTGGGAAATGACTTGTTATATACTTAGACCAGATGGATGATTGATGGATTTATTTTTTTCATTTCTCTCAGTTCTTGTCAAAAAACAGTGAAATCATCGCTAGAAATTACTGGCAGGTTTCTGGCAGTACTAAACCAAGAAAGAACCCTTCCCCACCCCCTACCCCCAATTTCTGGAGGATGAATCAAGGGACTGTTGCTCCAGGATTGTTGGAGCATGCTGTCACATGGAACATAGCAAGGTCAGATTTCCTGCCTGTGGGTCCCCTCCACCCCCACCCCACTTCCGAGCCTGCTGGGTACCTGGTTAAACGGCAAAGAAGCATTAAATGAAACCCAGAAGGAGCAGCTGTAAAAGAGGATGCCACAAGTTTTAAAGAAGCCTATAGGTCTTCAGCTTTACCTGTAAAATTTGGCAATGTCAGAAAAGCTCTGTGTCTGTTGTAGTACAGCAGTTTAATGGACAAGCTCTTGAGGTCATAGTTGCCTTTAGAGAGATATTGAGTGTTAAAGGGAAGTTGGTATTTTCTAACACAGGAAGTTTGACTTGAGCTAAAGCTAATGATACAGAGGTATATTTGTCTTCAGCATTAACATAACTCTTTCATGTGTTTTCTCATTAACTGCAGATCACCAGCTTTTCTGCTCCTCACAGATTTTGTGTGCATGTGTATATACTGTATGTGCATGCCACAGTGAGATTGTGTCATAGTGAGTGAGTGTGTGTGTGAGGCTCCGAGTATCTGATGGTGACGTAACATTGCTTCTATAGTGGTTTCTCTGTGCGTCTGCCATCAGTGCGGTTCTGTGGCACCAGTTCGTGACCCAACACAGTACTCTGTAACAATAGGTCATTTATTTTTTGCGCTGTAACAAGGTCCTTAGATACCAAATACCAAGTCGATTAAATCCAATATAGAAAAGCACAATTTGCATTTCCTGGGGAATTTTTACTTAACCTACTTACTGTTTGACTTGAGTTCTACATGAGGTCACTGTAAATTTATTGACCAAAGTAGACCAGGTCAGTTTCAGTTCCTTTTATTAAATAACCCAAAGTGACGTCATTCATGTTACATTAAATGTCAGTTTCACTCACCTTTTGTAAAAACAGAAATTTGAGGTATGTTAGGACGATATCAGTCAAAGGCAACTTTCCATTAGAGAAAAACAACTTTATTAGATGAATGGACCAAGAGAATGGAACAAAGGTTTGATGTTCGTTTTGGTCTGCTTTCTCCCTGTTTGTCCTCCATAAGAAATATGGAGTTAAGTTGTGCTTTTACTTAGTGGAAATCACCTTTACATGCCAAAATCTTTGACTCAAGATTTAGAGAATATAGAAAATGTGATGCTGTCGTCATGCCTTGTTGAATATTGGGTAAATGCGCCATTTTGGGAGCTTGCTCATTATTTACAGGGATTTACTTTCACAGGGATTAATCTGGCAGAGAGGCTATGTAGCAAGTATCTGTCTCACCATGAAGAAATACAGAAAATAGTCTTTGTTTTCCAGTCACCATTGAGATGTCCTGAGACAAAATTTTCACAAAGTAACATTTTATCAAAACTCAAAGGTACACATTGTATCTTACACAGATATAAGCAGAATTAATGGTTTTAATAAGCAATGAGGACATTTCTATTGTCTTTGTTGCAGCATAGGTTTACAGTGACCTAATCCTCACAACAAAGTCTTTCTATGGTTCTCATTGTCTGCTGGACAAGACGGGGAAACCTGCCAACTGCCAGAGCACGATTTCCTCCATCTTATCCCTTTTGTTTTATAGTTGTTTTTTTTTGGTTTTGTTTTCCGTGAGTTACCCTGGTCCACAAAGCTGTGGTGACCTGCCTCTTCCACTGTGCTGAGAGCAGATGGGGGGGGGTCAAGCTCCAGTGAAGTCAGTTAGCAGCCAACAGGCTATATCATTATTGTTCTGTCTCAGCCTGTTGTATCCACAGAATGATGGGGGCGACAACCCACAGAGCTCACCGTCTGGCCCAGCAGACTGGAAATTATTAGACTGCTTGATCATCAAAACACCTTTAGTTTAATTCAGAGTGGTATGTAGACTCACCTGTTTGTCAAGAGAGAGCTGATTTTGTGTTCGGTTTGCTGCAACTTTGTAAATTGAACCCATGAAAATTTCTCAGGCTCTTTTTTGCAGACTGATACTGTACAGTAGTATAGTCTTCTGCAGGTCTGTGTTCATTTAAGCATGTTTGTACCTGTCATTGTCTAATGAGTTTGATTCATGCACAGTTTGTACCAACCCTTATTATACCTCAGTTGACGTTCTTAACCCTCTTTTGTCAAGTGCTTTCATAATCATGATGTCATCTTCCCGGTCTAGTCTTTCTTGAGGTACTCACTGAATGCCATAGACTAAATAATAATGACCCAGCAGCTGAAGCGTTCTGTTGTTAATGCACATTGTTTAAACTCAGCATTTATGCTGATGAAACATCAGCATTTGATTGCTAGCATATGACTCACAAGCATCTATAGACTGATGCCTAAAGCAAATGGTTTCAGCTTGAGTGTTCACAGGCTTTAAGTGCACCTGTGGTGTAGGACTCAATAACTGAGGAAAGAAACACTCAGATTTGGTGGAATATGTTTGTATTTGATGAAACTCACAATCGGACGACAGACTGGGTATCCCTCTGTGCATCCAGCATATTGTAAACATGCTGGTTATGTTTAGCATAGCTTGGCACAAAGACTGAGAAGGATGAAAATGTAGATGATGTTGATATTTCCTTCTGTCTGTGGGCTTGATGTCAAAGGATGATATTTCCCAAATTGTTTCTTTAAATGTAAAAAATGTCTTGATGAAACACTATGATTGTAAAATCTATTCTACATGGTAATTTTCTATGTCACTCAAGGATAATACAGACCAGGGATGTAATTCATTATAGTTATGTGTTCAACAGATTTTCACTTTTAATTAATCTCATGATTATTTGGTGATTAATCTCACTTTTTGGTCTATAAGATATCAGAAATTGTTTAAAAAAAAAAAAAAGATGTGGAGCTTTTGCAACAGCTACGGAGATTGCAGAGGTTACATTAATATGTTGCTCCAGTAACAGGTTCAGTCATTTGTCCAGTGTTCAAATTCAGAAACTGAGGAAAAACCTCCAAAGTCAGCTAGATGAGCTTGTCTATCCTCAAATGACTTTGGAACTGGTGCTGAGGTGATAGATTGGACTTCTTTGCCAACATTAGCTCAGCTCTCCTGCTTTCCTTGCGCACACACACAGACACACAGAAAGAGAGGGCATAGTGTCTTTCACTTTTACATAGATATGCATTATACTGACCTAGCCTGTTTCTCTTCTGACTGTTGATGCAGTTAAGATCTTGAGTGTCAGCTACACTAGCAGCTGCTATACGTGCACTGAGTTTGTGCTTGCTGCAGCATCAGTGGCATAGGTGTGTACTGTGACTGCATTCAGATTATTTCCTAAAGGCATACTTTTTGGTGGATGGAATATTAGAATAACTAGCTAGTAAGCGGAAGAATATATAGAATGTTTTATGCTTGATCTCACTGTCACCAAGCCTTTAAACAGCTCTAGATGTTTGCTTGCATCTTCTGACTCGAATAAATAATGTAAGTTTTTAATAAAAATGCATTAGCTTTGTTATGAAATTTCAGTACATTTCCACCAAATTATGATGAGGTCAGTGGCAAATAAACAATGGATCTCATCAGACATGTAAATGCTCCGTGCATTTCTGATTAATTGGATTTTGTTTGTCTTTTCGATGCTTTTGCCTCTGACAGAAAGAGATTCAGGCCATGAGCCAGTGCCATCACCCCAACATCGTGTCTTACTACACCTCGTTTGTGGTAAAGGACGAGCTGTGGCTGGTCATGAAGCTACTCAGTGGTGGTAAGTGCATACAATATGTTTTTAAAACATTTTTCTCCACTCTTTTAATACACTCTCCTTAGCTTAAATCTGTTCGTCATTTGCAAATGGAAAGAAAAATTACTGTTGTAAAAGAGCCAGCAGGTGATTTGGTGTAACGTATCCTGGTGGCATTAAGTCATATTATGGGGGACTAGAATTTTTTTGGCAGGGACCCTTGTAATGAGACGGGCAGTGGCAGGATTTGGGCTATTTACTGCTGGTGATGTTAACAGCGATTGTAGGGAATGTGATAAGTTTGATCCTCATTGTGTCCTGTGTGAGCTGCAGCTCTTTCCAGACTTTGACTCAGTACGGTGCAGGAGCTAATGACAGGGCAGAGGTAATAACAGTCCACAGGCTGGCTGGCTGGCTGGTTTCATGGCATCAATGTGGCAATGCTGCAATTAACTAGGAGCACAAAGAGGAGGCCACCATGAAGAGAAAGACCTCAAAATGCAACAGTTGCATTTGATTCTGACTGTATTGTTGATTTTTATTTTAATCTGAAATGTATATTAAGATATAGAAATTTTATTTCTGGATCATTCTGTTGGGGAGGACTTTTACAGAAGACCTTTGAGCCTCCTAGGCAGAAACAGCATGAACACATTCTGTGCCAAACATCTGACAAGCAAGATGAAGTGGGCTCCATTAGCTGTGAGGTGAAGACAAACTAATGAGAGCAATAGTCAAATTGCCTCTGATCTCTTTCCATTCTGATTTCACTCTCATGCACTTCATTATACAAGCACATATGTACACAGACACATCCACACGCTAACATTTCCACTCAGTTTTGACCCTCCCTTGTCTCTTTCAGACTCGCTGTGTAAATAGCATCCTGCTGTAACAGATGGCATGCCTGGCTCCCTTGGATATACTTGAGCCATGAGCTGCTTGGCAGCTGCCTTGCAGCTGGGGCCCAGGGCACAGTGCCCACCAAGTGATGTTTGAGCAGACGGCCACAGCAGGAGCAGACATCACTTAAGATGGCCTCTCTCGTTCACCTTATTCTTGTTCAACAGAGGCCCCTGATATTGAGTTTTATTGTGTAGAGTAATTAAATGATGGCCATAGTGCCGTCTGCCATGGAGACAGACCTCTAATGAGGTCAGATTTATAGACCATCACTCCACAGGGCCGAGCATACCGGCCCCAGGGAGAGACGACTCCTGTCAGACCTTCTGGTTTGATGAAGCATAAGAAACCCTCTACACTATGACTGTGTCCTGTCATGGGTATTTGAAAGATGGATGATGGCTAGACAGTTGATCTGGCAAAGCCCTGCCATTTTATACTGAGAGCTTTTGGTTGTAAAGCGCATTGTAAAGCATAGATGAGGCATCAGAGTACAATTTACAGGTATCATTACTAACTGAAAAGAATGTTGTTAGACTACATAGTACTGCATAGTATCACATGCAATAGTATCACATGCAGTACAGTCAGTACGTAAAGCTTTTAGACCCTTTCAAGGTTTCCACCTATTGTTATGTTTAAGACTCATCTTAAAATGGATTCAATTCATTTTTGATTTTGCTTCTCATGGTTTGGGAGTCCTTCAGGTGCCCTTTGGCAAACTCCCAGTAGGCTGTCATGTGCCTTTTAGTGAGGAATGGCTTCTGTCTGGCCACTCCACCTGATTGGTACAGTGCTGTGCTTGTGGTTGTCTTTCTGTAAGGTTCTCCCATCTCTAGAAAGGAACTCTGAATCTCATTCATAGTAGCCCTTGGGTTCTTGGTCACTTGTCTGACCAAGGCCCTTTGTCCTCGACTACTGGCTGGGTGGTCAGATCTATGAAGACCGGGGATGGTTCCGGATCTTTTCCATTTGAGAATGATGGAGGCTGCAATGTTCTTGGGCACTTTGAATGCTGCAGAAATTTTCTTGTATCCTTCTCCACATCTGTGTCTTGACACAGTCCTGTCTTGCAGCTCTGCAGATAATTCCCTGGACCTCATGGTTCTGTTTTCACTCTAATTTATATATGAAAAAAAAAATTAGACAAGTCTTTTCTTTATGGTTCAAAGCATTTTGCTGCTCACGCAAAGTTTAGACCGGGCAATAATTTACTTTTCATCTTTGACTGAGATAAACTCATATTAATGACATGTTCAGCTGGTGAAAGCATGCCTCTTGCCCTCATCCTCCATCCTTTGTTTAGCTTTTTAGCCAATGCGAACCTGCCTGTGTGCACGTCATAAAATAGCCCACCAAGGACACAAGTCAAATCACATCCAGCCGATACAGTAATGCAGCATCACTTCTCTTACGTTACCTGTTAATGGGGAAAACTATGCAATAATATTGCTCACATAATAGGGTATTTCTGCCCAGCAGTACTGTATGCCACATTTTTGTGTTATTTATAAATGTAACTCAGGTGGGATCCCACTCTTGTGTCATATGATAATTCATAGTGGTATACCACTCTGACAGCTGTGGCTGTTTGCTTTGCAGAAACGGTATGTCATCAGTGTTCCACTGGCATGTACCATTCCCCTTTGGCAACAATGACATACCAGTAAGAAATGGCTTTTGACACTGAATCAGGAGTGGCAAGGACATACAATTTCAAATTGTTGCTAGTGAAGTAAAGCTTCTTAGGTGTTCTATATCTCATTTATCAGCACAGCCACCTTCACTTCATATTATATGTTTTTCACACAGATAACTAGAACCTCAGAGACCTAATCTTTGTCAAGATTGCTCTCCTCTCTAGCAAATCCATTCAAGGCTAAACTTGCACAGTTGTAGGCACAGGGCTTTTCAGGAAATTCCTGTTCTGAATATGATGTGTGACAGCTATTTCATTAGAGTTCTGCATAACCTTTCACTGACGGTGTTCACGTTGGACATTAGACATCCACTGACAGATCATTCCAAAGCAAGCAGAGGAATGTGTTCTCAGGAGATTAGTGTGCATCCTCGCCTGACCTACAATCACAGCTGCCGAGCTCAATCAGACGTTGCTCAGAGATGAATCCAGCACTTCTAGAGTTTTCCTGTTATTGATAGTTTGGTGTGGATCAGTGGATTTGGCCCTTAACTATTATCAAAACACTGACAGGGAGCTTTGGCGAGGACCCATGTTCACAGAATTGTAACAATAAAATTTAAGATGTAAAATTAACTTTGTCATATTCTTCCATACGAGTTAAATGTGTAACTTTTTAAAAGTTTTGACAGAGCATTTCTCAGTCTGTGCAAACAATCCTCACTTTATACCTTGTTTCTGCTTTGCCACAGCCCCTCCCATGCCCCACCCTCCCTCTTCCCTTCCAACCTTGCTTGGCTTTCTCTATTGCCCTTTAGCACAGTTGGCATCTACTCCCATTGCCTACATCCATTTCCAACTCCTCCTCCAACCTCTTTTACTCTCTTGTCCTCTCCCTAGGTCTTTAAGCTTCTGCTGTCACCAGGTGAATTGGAACACTGAAAAGGGAAAGTTGTTGGTTGAAGTGGAGTTATGTTCTGACTTGTGCACCTTCACACTTTCTGTGTGAAATCCTGAGCGATTTGGCTAATCCAGCATACAACAGAAATGATGATTTCCTCAGTGTTTGTATGGTCGACAGTGTATTCCAGTGCCAAGCTTTCATTTATTCTCTGAGGTTTTTATAAACTCTCACTCTGGGGGTTTGGCGACAAACCAGACCAACAGGTGTCATTTGTCTCGGAAGCCGTAGGCTTTCCCCTGCAGAACGAACGTTTGGATTGTTAACCTGTCAGTCAGTGTCAGCATGTTTAAAACGACCTAATGAGGCTTGAAGAGGTCAATCCGATGAATTTGGTTGACAAGAGGTTGACAAGGCTAGCATTTAGTGATCGTTCAGCATCATGTGCATGTGTGTCTGAACTGTTTGTTTTGCTCTACCCTTTATTTTTGCCCAAATTTTTCTGTTGCCTTAATAGAAAAATTAGAATCGTTGTTTATTTTGTGTAAAAATGAGATACACAGTGCTTTCTTTAGCTAACTCTGGCTGCACTCCTTATTTACCCCCACTGAGGCAAATTGTTGTACTCCACAACAACTTAACCAGAGAAATGAATGCAAATGCCACGCTGCATGCATGATATAAAATAAAACTAATTTGACCCATGTCAATTATAAAGCACCAGAAGAATGTTGGTTGTATTTAAGGCAACAATTTGTCATTGTTTTTCATTTTTCAGTCATTAATAATGACAAGTATCACATTTTGACTCTGGTAGGGGTGGCTGATGCCAACACTGGCCACCCCCCTGGCTCTGCCCATGTGTTTTTAGTCATTATGCTAAGCTATGTTAGCCAAATGTTACCCACAGCTTTATACTTCACAGACAGACATAAGTATTAATTTTCTCCTCTAAGTTTGGGCATGAAAGTGACTGGAGTATTTTCCAAAAATATCAAACTGTTCCTTTAATAATGTAAAGGTAAAGCAGGGCTGTCACTTCTCACTCACTGTTGAGTGAGCAAGGATAAGAGCTGGCACCTTAGCTACTTTGTCACATTCTCTTCTAATGCCACCTTCATTTGTTGCCTCATTTAGAGTACAACTCCCCACTAATTTGATCTTGACTCCAGTCACTTACCCTCTTCCTCTCAGCATCTTCATCACTGTCACCTGTCACTTTTCATCACTGCCTCTCTTTTCTCCAGCCATTTCAGACAAGGAGATGAATGCCAGAATGAGTGCAGTAGCACTGAGAACAGAGAGGGGAAAAATCAGAGACACTGCCTTTTCTCAATGAGCTTCAAAGAGCCGTCACGTCAGAGACTCGGGGCTACACTATTCTTTCACTCCTGACTTGGCTCACTCACACACTCGTACAGTGCACCCACTATCTCCCACACTCAGACACTCTAGGCTGCTTTTCCCATCTTTCCTCCTGTGCTCTTCTTTAGAATGGGATTGTCTCTTTTCCTCATTGCTGAAACACATTTTCTGCCGTGCACTGTCACTGCACAAAGAACCCGTTGAACCCATCTCCTCTCCCTCCCTCCCTCCCTTCTCACCCTCCCTTTCTGTCTCGCTGTCTAAGATCCTCTGCAATAACACTGTCTAGTCTCAGGTGGCCCATCATTGTTGGCACTTGTGGATAATGCAACGAGTCCTTGTCTGAGTGCTGCAGGCGAGGATTTCCTGAAGTGGCTGAGCAAATAAATATCTACACACACCTTCCCTGGCACACTTGCTAAAACAGTTTAATCCTGGAATTGTTTCATGGACAGTGTTTTGGGCCTTGTAAAAGTGATTCCCTGTTGTGTGTGGCTGACAGTGTGTGTGAGTAAGAAAGGGAGGGACCGGCGGTGTGGTAGTGTGATGTTTGTTTCACCGCAGCACAATGCAGCTTGTCAGGCAAGTGGCGTTCTTTTTGTGCCTCTGCTTTGTCCCCATTCACTGGTGTCGCTCAGTTTTTTTGTTTTGTCAAACCAAATGCGAACACTGAACCTATTTTCCGAGAGGTGTTCTTCATTCTATGGAAGGTCACACAAAGGGAATCGTACATTGACAGCAGTTTGACTTTTCAGAGTGCTCCTTTATGTAGCAGGAGCCAGGCTGAAGGAAACACGGTGACCTGTCTTTTTTTTTTTTTTTTGGTTTTGGCTCTAACTCTGCCAAGTGAGTTAACAGAGCTGAACTAGTTTTCTGTTCAGCTGGGGCAACTGACGACAAAGACAAAGGTTTGACTTATAACTTTAACCTGCAGATTTATCTTCACCGCCGATCTCCACCTAGTTCCAAAAATATTAAAAACAGTTTCAATCTACAATAAAACTGACACACAGAATAAAATTTCTTAAAACTGTAGAGCTTGTTTTGTCTTTGTGAACGTGACTCTAGAGATGATGTCATCCACCATGCCGGTGCTGCTCTGTAGACAGCAAATCATGAAATGTCTCTTATAGTAGCCATGGCAGGTCACAATATTTGATTATTAGCTGTGTGCACTACATTGAAATGAAGCTCCTTTGTTTGGAAAACCTCGATGGAAAGTCCTGTGAGCATGCAGTCTAACTGGAAGTCAATGGACCAAGTTAAAAAAAAAGTCTTGTAAGCATTTTCAAGTCTTATTACTGCTTAGTCACTGAGACAGTTGTCTCAGTTAGCTTCTAAAATTATACTTGGGTTGCATAACATAAATTCCTAATTAAGATAATCTGTCTTTTGATTTCTCTCCCTCCACCACTGGCTTGTTTTGCCATGGCCAAATGAAAAGGTCATGGTGATGTTTATGGTCAAAGGACTTTGTCCTTGTGCAAAGTGAGGTCACACTAAATATTTAAATATTGTGTGCATATTTCCTGTATTTTCTGTATAAAGAGACAAATAAATCTAAATAATCATAACTTTGCTGAAACAGCAAAACTATGGTGGCCTAAAACCTTTGCAAAGCACTATAGTTTTCAACAAAGAAAAATGAAGCATGACATTGTAAAGCTAGACTTTTTATCACCACTGTCCTATGTTTGTTTGTCAGGCTCAGTGCTGGACGTGATCAAACATATCATCTCGCGAGGCGAACACAAGACAGGTGTCCTGGATGAGTCGAGCATAGCCACAGTGTTGAAAGATGTGCTTGAAGGCCTGGAGTATCTACACAAGAATGGGCAGATCCACAGGTAATAAGACTCCTTGCCTACCTTCCTGTGGTACCTTAATAGAAGTGACACAGGATGTTTCATCATCAGGCTTCACTTTGAGAGTTTATGGAGCAGAAATATGCAACTTCATCCATGACTTTGTCTTCTCTGGTTCTCCCATAATAGATATCTCACTAATATTTTGTCCTTCCACTTTGTTGACATGATATTTTTATCTTGACTGAATGGAGTCTGTCCACATTTGTATTGGCACATTTTTTGAACACAGTACTTCAGTTATAGTATAATATATTATGTGTGCTCACAGTGCTGATGCCTGTGAAAATGTCAACATTCCTCCAAGTTTGTGTTCGGCTTGGTTGATAATTTGCTCAATGCAGTCTTGCACATACGATTAACAAGCGTTTTGATCTTTGACTCCACGTCCTCTGCTCAGCTATGAGTGCTATGTGTGTATAGAAATACAGTGGAAATGCAAGGCAGAACTGATATGAGTGACCTGAGGCCATGAAATGGCCTTTTCAGGCAGCCACTTTCACTCCAAAAGGTCAGGAGCATCATTGGGATCTCGATTGAGATGAGGCAGTATACTTCACCAGTGAGTCTGCATTCAGTGTTCCAGAAGAAGAAGCAGCAATGATGTGTTTGTCTTAATATGGTAAAATCAATCAGTGGTTATGAATGAAAAATCTAAATAGTCCTCATTTTCTATCTTTGTTATTAAGCTATACACATGATATCAGCCTGTAGTGTTCTAATAAAACTGCAGCAACTTTAAATTAGAGACGGCTGCAAGGCATCTATAAGTAGACCACCACTTCAGAGCTGATCATCTTTAAGAGGAGTTTTATGAATATGCATAAGTGGAATGAGTCAATGACAGATTTGCATGCCGCAGGAAATGTGGTCCCGAAAGCTCTTCTCGAAGCCATTTCAAGACCTGGCTAAGTTCCTGCACACAAGCTGAACCAAGTCAGTGTACAAGCTGTAGATGCCATTTATTTGCCTCCTCTGTATATAATATTTATTGCACACTTTTTTGTAAGTCTCCTTTTTTCTCCCACTGGTGCAGACCTAGCTGGGGACAGGCTGCATGTGTAAATAATGCATGGCTTTTCAGCTGGGTAAAATGCTGAGCAGCTTTCAGAGTAATGTGCCAGTGTGAAACGGAGAGAAGCTTTAGGGGAAGACTCTGAGCAAGAGGCTAACAGAAAATGATATAATAATAAGAAATAATTAAGTAATAATTTTAACATCTACTTTCAGCATAATGTGATTAGTCACTGCCAGAGAGGGAGGATTTTTTTTCCTGAGTAAAACTTGTCTTTAACTCTGTTCCATCAAAGAAACATTAAAGTATTTTTAATAGATCATACATTCGTCACATCGGTACAACCCCAGACTCCGAGGTGTGACTTGTGAAGATTAATTGCCAGATAATATCTATCCAAACACTGAAAATAGTCGATATGCTGAGAGTGGAGAGGCCATGATCAGTCCGTCGCTGTGCGCTGACGTAAACGTGCGTATGGCCGTGCATGTTCTTCCTGTGCAAACTGCATCAAATGAGTTGGAGCCTTAGGGCAGGCGTAATGAGGTTCTGTGGGTTGGGGGTTACATGATATGTTGGATCCACTGCAGAAAAGCAATTAGAGTCTTGAGGCCTGGGCTCAACCAGAGACATTTACCACAAGATGGTGAACTTCTCCACCTTCACAGTAGCCTGGAAAGTCAGCCATTCAGAAATGACACTTGTCCTCTAACTTGAGCAGCCGGTAGACTTCATGCACATAGTAAAAGAAGAATAGCACCCTAGTCTAGATTTTGTCAGTTTTTAGAAAATCAGCCTGTGAGTTAATCTATTGGCAGGAGAGATGTTACTGCTGTGGTGAGCTCTTTGCTTTACTCATCTCTGAAACCTCATGTGTCTTCTGAGAGTACATGGCCAGGCTTTGCCCAGCAAATTACTCTGTATGTGGCTTAGTAATGACTGTGTTATGGCTGTAGTTATGCTGCCTATGGGAGCAGAGAGGCTCTTGCTGTGTGATTAAAGCAAAATTGACAAAACAAATCGATTTGGAAAAGCAACCAAACTACAGAAGCAGAGGAAGATACTTGATGGTTTAAAGAGGGGAGGTGCTTCATCTCCATAAAAGACCCTCTGGGTGTCTCATAAACCCTCTTTTACAGCCCTGTTAGGGGCGTTGTGGCCCTGGCATCAGAATGTAATGTCACAGGAGGTGACCTGTTGGAGCTGCAAGGTGCAAAGCCTGCCAGATGAGAATGATAAATCTTCTTGAAGGTTTCATACTGTAGCTGTTCCCATGTGGCTGCTGCCTGGCTATCGTTTCACTAGGCCATAAATATGAAGCACCATACATATCTTGTTAATGTTTAATAGCGATTGTTGCATTGTATTCATTGGGTCTCATGTGCTTTAACAATTAGAAATAGATAACGTACGTCAGTTATTCTTCAGACCCGACCTACCTTCTATTGTAACAAATGGTTTTGATGACTAGTAGGAGTTTGGATTTTAACTGCAGGTTGTTTCTTTTTTCCTCTCTGCTTCTTTGAATTTGCATAGTGCGTTATGTCATCACCACCTCCTCCCTCCTCCTCCTCTTCTTCTCCTGTGAATGTTAATGACTGTCTGCGCTCTGCAGCCTTTTTCTCAGAGCATTACAATCTGCTGCAGTGATCCATAGCACAAGAACGGGAGGGATGCAATCAGCTCGCTTTGATTGCACTTTGTCAATGAGACAGATTTATGGGTTGTCTGTTATTAGAGTGGACCATATTAAATTGGAAAATCCCCCATAAAATAATCATGTTATTAGTTTTAATTTATGAATTTCAGCAATTTGGACAGCAGCATATCATAACTGCATAGATGATGATGATGATGATGTCATCTACAACATCCGCGTTAGAAACAGTTGCACACTAACACTTTAATTTTAGCCATGCTAGCAAAGTTGATCAAGGGATGGCAAGGTTGGTTGGTAGAAGCAGAGTAGACTCCTACAGCTCTTCATTTTTCTTGGAAAAATGTAAGAATTAAGATCGGTAGCAGATCTGGTGATGTGGCCAGAATGTCTAATTGGCCTGGATTGAATCTACAGTACCTCATTAAAATACTGACCATAATTAACCCAGACTAAATACTGAATCACAAGTGGAAAAAGACAATTAGACCCACTGAGAGAGGTGCAGTGGTTGTGTAAAGGAGGAAAAGTCCTCTTTCAGCCCCAGGTGGTTCACAGTCTGCCCGCACCTCATTCTCATCCTTAGAAGCAACATAATAAATTACCAGATGCAAATCATCCCTGTTGTAATGTGCTAACACTAAGGGCAAAGAATGTGCTTGATCTTGTTTAAGAAGCATCAGTGATTGCAAGAAACTGAAAAAATACTGCATCCTGGTATCTCCTAACTGTTTTGTCATCAAAGTGACAGTGGAACAAGCTGTGGAGCGTAGAAGTCTGTAAAGCAACAGTCTTTGTTTTTTTTTATCCGCCCTTTCCTCTCTCTCATCCACTACATCATCCCTAGAGTGACAGTTGTGTAATTAAGCCCATCTCAATACAAATGCACATCGTTTTGCCATATATAGTACAGATAGCTGTCATCTCAATACAAATGCACATCAAAGTTTTGCCATATATAGTACAGATAGCTGAGCTTATTACTGAAAACACAGTTAAGAGAAGGCACCGTTCCAGTAGAGTGTCCCAGTCTCCTCCTGGATACTATTAGTATCCCAGCAGTCATTTTGCTCTGCAGTGGGAATTCCCATCATTTGTTTTCATCCTGTGGTCCTAATATATCATGCACTTCATGCTGCATTCCTTCTTATGTGGCTCACGGTTTGCCACTCCCTGCCCCTGTCGTTGCAAGATCTTTTGATCTCTTGGCTGTGTGATATTTTAGTGGAGCGCTCTTAGCTAAAGGAGACGCTGCACTTAGGTATTCATCAGCATTTGCACAAAGATCTGAACTGTGACCTGCAAGCTTTTGAGTCCGTTCAGCACAGTGCGTGTCTTGTTTGTGAAGGCTGTATTTGTGACTTTAAGGGGTGCAAAGAGCCAAACTGTCAACCCTACCTCATTTGCTTTTTTTGCTGCAGAATTGGGGCCTGAAAAACTAAGGTTGTTTTAGTGATCCAGGGGAAGCTTCAGCATGTGTTTGCAGTATTTGCCCCTGACTTTTCTGGTATTAGAATTATTATTATTTTCTTGGAAGCTGTGTCATGTCGCATCTCTACATCAGAACTCCAAAGATCAGTCTATTTTTACAGTCATTGAGAGCATTTTGTTTGCTAGAATGATCCTTGATCATTTTTGTGTTTCAGTGCCCCCATCTGACAGAATGGTGAACTGCATGGTTATAGAGGCTGCATTTCTGTTGACTCCATTAGTCTGCCTGGATCATACGTTGTGCTTAAAGATCTGTTAGAAGTTATTCAAGGTGAGGTAGCTGAGCATGTTCCGGCAGTTGTACCACTTTGGTGTTCTCTGTCTGGTTCAAATCTTCCTCCCATTATGCTCTATTGAAATGTAAATTCATTTCTGAAAGGCTGGACAGCAGAAAGATCTAGCTGTTGTCTCTTATGACACCGCTGCTATCCTTACATTTTTAGTTCCTTGCCTTTCACTTGACCTTTTGACTTTTTCCTCTGAAAGTCTGTTGCTATGACAACTCTGGCTGGTGAGACAGCAGTATTCATTTTGTTTGGCAGTCCGTGCAAATGTGTGTGAGTGTGCATGGAGGCACACAGGCAATCGGATAGCTGACCCTGCTGAATCCTCTTCTCACCACAAGAGGAGGCTGAACAGGGCTGAACAAATTAACCACAGACTGTGCATTTTAATAGTCTGTGAGATGGATGAAAGCTATAAAACTGAGCTTTTTTCCATCAGTAAGCAGTCACGAAGAAAAGAATTCCTGAGCTTGCATTAAGCCGGGTCCATAGCTGAACTGTGTGTGTTTAATTTTTATCTTTACTATTTAATCTATGCATCAGCTCCTTGAAAGAGGTGTTTTCCCTATGTATGGACTTTCGTATTATCTTTCACAGAGATCTCAAGGCTGGAAACATTCTCCTCGGTGACGATGGTTCAGTTCAAATTGCAGGTATTTAACTACAAGACAGCACTACAGCACCTTTCAGCACTTGTCACCAGTTGTGTAGAAGTAGATGTTTTGTTTCCCCTCACCTGTGCTACAACCTCATTTTTTTCCTTGTTGAGCTGTTCCAACAACTTAGTGTATTTGTGCACAGGAGGAAAATTATCAAGGCTGTTAGTAATTTACTGCTCTGGATAGTTTGTGTGTGTTTGTCTCATTTTTTTTATCCTCACTGTTCCCATCCTTCAGACTTTGGCGTCAGTGCCTTTCTAGCCACAGGTGGTGACATCACTCGAAATAAAGTGCGCAAGACGTTTGTGGGAACACCATGCTGGATGGCTCCAGAGGTCATGGAGCAGGTCAGTGTCCTTTAGCATAAACCCGAGAATTATCCCTGACAACAGAATATTCACAATTAGACACAACTTCTACTAAATACTGATGCTACTTTAGAAATCTGAGGTCTACTGCTGTATCATTTTTATTGAGACTAATCACTTAGACACCATACAGTGAAGCTCTGGAACCTGCAAACTATGTATGATTTAAAATGATGAGAAAGAAATGACAGAAGAAACGGCATATGTCAATATAAGAGAAAGAAAGACCTTATGTGTAAAAGGTCACTGTGACTTCTGCTTTTGCAGGTGAAGGGTTATGATTTTAAAGCAGACATTTGGAGTTTTGGGATCACAGCCATCGAGCTTGCCACAGGGGCTGCACCTTATCACAAATACCCGCCAATGAAGGTGAGAGAACCTGGGAACGATTTTTGTAGTTTATGAAACAGAACAATTGCAACGTCAGCTCCTCGCACTTGCTGTGAGTACAGCTTGTCAAGTTTCAAAGTATTTGCCCTTGGCACATTAGAGTAAAAATGTTGCTGGTGTCTTCAGGTCTTGATGCTGACACTGCAGAATGACCCTCCAACCCTGGAGACTGGCATCACTGACAAAGAGATGGTAAAGAAGTATGGCAAATCCTTCAGGAAGATGACCTCTTTGTGTTTACAGAAGGACCCAGAAAAAAGGTGCTCACTCAAAGTCTCAAATAATACATAATGCTGGAGACTGAACTAATTCATTGTCATTCTGCTGGTTTTCAGGCCAACATCCTCAGAGCTGTTGAAGCACAAATTCTTTCAGAAAGCAAAGGTAGGTGTTTGGTGTTTTGGTCCATCTGAGCTTGACACTGTGTGAGCATCATTGCTGTTTCAGGCACTGTTTGAGCTGGCTGATGAGTAAAGGTCTGAGTCTGCAGCAGTGATTGTGTCTGAATGGCCTCATTTCCCCCCGAGTTGAAAATTAGTGTGATTGCTCCCAATGACCACTAAATATGTCTTTGTGTGTGTAAAGTCCGTCTCCTTGAGGTGTTTGTGTGAGATCGTCTGCTTGTCACTCTGCTCAGCGTTTCAGTGTGTTTGAACCAAGCTGAGTTCACTGCAGCACTTCTATCATTATTAGAGCTGCAGAGCTGTTTCTAACAAAGGCAGGAATAAACAGTCAAACACCAGCTTCTGTCCAGTTCCCTAGCTACTAAAACAATTAGACCGCTGGTTCAGCGTGTGACATAGCCCACATACAACTTGGTTGCTTTTCTGGATATGATCCTGGTCAGCAGCAGGAACTGCAGTGCTCTGTATGTGCAGCAGAGGACAGATTTTGTCATCATTGTAGAAGCGACACATTTCTAATGAGTGAACTTTAGGTCTTACTCTCAGCCTGCTGGAGCCACTCTGGTACATTAGCGGATCATCACATCTCCAAAAATGTTGAAGCAAATTTCTAAATTGGCATTACTTGAATAGATTGACCGCATATTTGAAAAACTGATGGTTATTTTCTTGCTTGGAAAAAAAATATCAAAACTTGAATAAAATGGCATAATAACAGTCAGGCCGAAAATTGTAATAGCATTGAGCCTGCCCTGCCACCACCATGGGATGTTCAGCCAGTACCAGGTGGTGGAAAGGACACTAAAGACTTCATGTTAATGCTTCCGGTGACATTGCTGCAAACAACCATGACTTATCTTAGCATGTGTTAAAGATCCACAGCAAAGTTTCAATCATAAATGTTTACTTCAAACTAAAAAAATAAAGAATCAGTGGAGATGTTTAAGTCTCAAACAGATCATGGCTTCAAAAATGCAAGTCAGATCAACTCATGTTTATAAGTTATGAAATGGTCTCAATGTCGAATTATCTTGAAAATATAAAGCTTAGATATTTTTGCAAAATGAATGAAATGCATTAGTTGATTCTACAGAATGCCTGTTTAAATATTTCCAGTGCAAATGATAAAAGTGAAGCTGACAGGATTGTTGGTTTGAAGTACAGTGAGGACAGCTTATTTATGCAGCACTGTTCAAAACCAGACTAGTTAAGTGTTGTATTGTTAGAGACCAAAAAACAATAAAAAGCATTTCAGTAAATGAATATAATGATATGTCCCTCAGAGGGAGAATCCACTGTAACCTGGGAGCCGTTACAACAGAAAGCCTGGCCACCACATTTGTTGCCCTTAGAATAGAGTAGAGCTAGTAGCCTTTCTTACGATGACCTGAGAGGCCTACGGAACCTGTATATGATCAGCGACTCACTAGATTCATTCCTAAATTTGACAGGAAGCCCAGCATAGCAAAGAGTCTTTGTTAAGTACCAACTTAATGGGGCCAGTTTCTGGATAATTCATGACCTAATCAGGTAACAGTCATTCATTTCTTTCCTGTTATGACAGACCCATGAATATTTACATGAGAAGTTACTTCAGAGGGCGCCCACAATAACAGAGAGGTCAAAAAAGGTAAGATAACAAAGATTCTTATGTCATTACACAGGATGTTAAATGTTTCAGCCACTTACTGTGCCACAAAGATGAGTTCACTTTTGTGCACATGTGTTCTCAGGTGCGTCGAGTGCCGGGTTCCAGCGGCCGGCTGCATAAAACAGAGGATGGCGAGTGGGAATGGAGTGATGATGAGCTGGATGAAGAAAGTGAAGAGGGCAAAGCAGCTGTTGCTTCCTTAAGGGTGAGGTGAACCTACAACTTGTTTTCCCCCCACATGCACACATTAACATTTTGTTGTACGCCACATCTTATCTTTTAATGACCGTACTCTGTTTAAATGATCATTTTCATGTCTGTGCCGTAGCACGTTTGTCCGTTGTCTCTCCACTAAGTCTCTTGTATGTGTGTATGTTCTTTCCGATGGCCAAGGAGCAGCAGGTGAAGCCTGTTAGTGCCCCCAGGCGACAAGTGCGCTTCTCCTACCCACTCGAGCTGTCTGCGCCCAGGGTTGTTCACTAGCCACCACAATACAGATGGCATTCCCCTAACAAGGAAAGACTCTCTCTGCACATGCCAGCTAGGGTACACATGACAGCGAAGAAGGGCAGGAAAGACCTTGTAGGGATACAAGAAGGTGGAGAAAAGAACAGATTACCTTTCTTGTGCGGGTTTGCATATGAAGTTGTAGAAGACTGTAGAAACTGTGTCCACTTACTCAGATGTTAAAGTTTATCTTTACAGCTATAATTGACTAAATCTCATCTTGACTGTTGGTTAAATAGACATTCACCTTAGATTCACTTGATTTAACAGAGTAAATCTGTGCACAGATAAACTCTGATCCTCTAGTCCTGACCTTGTTCTGTGATTAAATTACTTTGGCATATCAGAAGACACCTAGTAAGACACCTGACTAAGTTATGCAATGGGTTTGTTGAAGGGAAAGATTTGCTGCATAGTTTCCAAGAGGAAATCCATGCATGTTGTGCACTTGCAAGTGGAATTTGACCCATAAGGTAATCTTATCAGAAACCATTAGTCATTAGATTGAGATATTCTTTCTTTCCCTGAAAAGAATAAGGCATAAAAAGTATATCCATTTATTATGGTTCAGAATAGAAGTTTGGAGGCCTGCAGCTTTTTTTTTTTTAAAGTCTACATATCTAGATAACAGTTGGCTTTGAGAGAGCATTGTTTTATCAAAGGAGTAAGAGTTACCTTTCCTGGAAGCCATCTGTATTTCATTTCCTCTTTCTAAATCACTTTTTATTTATACTGACCATATCACATTTAATCAACACAAGCCAAATTACTTATAAAACTTGGTCTTTAATTCAAGCAGTAATGATCATTGCAAAATTCAGGCTCTGTGGTGTGTCTGCTGTTTTCCTGCTGGCTACTTGTCAAACTTTATTTTCTATCATCGGCTCCTTTGAATGTTACTGTACGTCTCTTAGCTCTTAGTAAAGACCAGCATACTCTGTTCAGTAACAGCCTGAAAACACCGACTGCCTGTATAAGACAGAAGGCTCCTGAGCTGATGTGATTTCTGACCTAGATCAGCTCACACACCACATCACGTCTTCTCAGTTGAGTCAGTTTGTCTTCATCTGGGCTTGCAGAGCTTCTGTCTGATGCCACGTTGCTGCGATTTGGTTTGAGTCCAAACCTTTCATTTGACTGTTTAACAGTGACTTTTTCACAGCTAACATTGCTTCTTAGTTTTTAATTCTAAAACTTAAAACGGCGACTAAACTCCAGATTATATATTCACTCGTTTACAACTCAATTACCAGCATTTCGCTCATGGTGAAATTAATATAGTCTTCTGTCTTGATAGGGCTGTACTGTATATAATTAGGCCTATTTAGTAAATTTTCTGGTCATTTTATTGAGAAACTGTTTTCAGGCTGATCTATTGAATAAAATTTGTGGTAAAATCCTGCAAATCCAATATTCCTATAAATCAGGCCTGTTTGATTTCAATGTTGCTTGACATTTTAACAGTCTGTGATATGTCATGTCACCCACCAGTTAGGGGAATGTAGTTGATTAGCATGTGATATCTCAGTTCTCACTGCAATCATATCACTTAAAGGAGATTATGATGGAGCAAGTGGACCAGTAAATGAGGAGAGTGAACGAGTGAGCTGGTTTAATCGGTTTAATTCTTTCAGTTTCCCTGTATTCTTTGCGTCCATGCCTGCTGTTTTCGCTTGGCTAAAAGCACTACAGTGAAATCCTTCTCTCATTGCTGTCTTCTATGATCTGTTTTTATAGTCACCAAGAGTGAAGGAGGGGTCTCAGAACTCAGAGGTGAGTTTCAAAAACTCTGCAGCGACTGGGATGGAGTTTCTGTACACCAGGATACACCTAAGTGATTATAATCTTAAATAGCTCAGACTATTGTAATTCCCTTTTTCTCAGCAAAACATCCCTGGATGCTTTACAGGGGGTCCAGAATACTGCTGTTAAGCTTTTGACCAGCTTTTCAAAGAAAGAACATGTAACACCAGATTTCTTTACACTGGGTCCCAGTTAGATTCAGAATTCATTCTTGTAATTAGTTTTTGTTATAAAGTACTTTGTGACATTTGTTCTATAAATGTGCTATATGAATAAACCTGACTCACTGTTATTTAATAATTTCATAAGATGTCAACAGTACCGATGTGGTATGTTATTTAAACTACAAAGTGTGAAATGCGTTTATGTACCATGGATACGTAGCCTAGCCTTTAACACTGTGGTCAGTGTGGCACTAAAAGCAGTCCTTGTTTGAAGGTAATGTGCATTAGTTGTCATTTTCTGCCCTGCAGCACATGAAAAACATTTACATCCCTAAAGACTGTGATTGTATTTCCTCCCATGATGACACAGTATATAAATAGAGCAGTACATAATGCGGCAGGTTGAAAAAGGCACAGGTTTTGCTACACCTCACGTACCTGCACATACAGAAGTCATTTCAAACCTTCATTTTATCCTGCATGTTTGTGCTTAGACCAGAAAGCATATTCATATTAAAAAATAAGTTGCCCTTTGTAGCACACTGATTTAGATTTGATGATTTGAATATATTTCTCCCTCAGGTTTTTCCAACTCCCGAGCCCTTAAGTAGTCACCTCCAGTCGACGGCCGCAGGTCAGGCAGACCTACCTCAAGCTGCAGGCCAGGTTCCACTGCAGCCCACACCAGTCAGCGCTCAGTCCTCTGACCAGGCATCTTCCACACCAGGAATACCCGCTGCTGCTGTTCCCACACAGGTCAGTCTGATTTTGTTTTCCATCATGTGCTTTTTTTTTTTTTTTTTTTTTGGACTACTAGCTTATCTATAATTGTTAACCATGATATTTCTGATATTCCTTCCTTATTCTACTCCTTTAGTTATGCCTAATATTTTTAAAAGTTTTCATCCCATTTGTTATTTCTGTCTGTGGTTTGACATTGACAGGTTCCAGCTGCAACAGGGGATGCTAAGGCTCCCATTAGTTTGGTATTGAGGCTAAGGTACGTTCATACATTACACATTGTAAAAATCAGTTGATCAACAGGCCAATCAGTTTCCCCCCCCCCTCTCTTGTTTTGTTTTTATTGTTTTGCACTTTTATTTGAGTGGAATAAGTCGACCACTGAATGGTCACGTTGACTCCTCTGATCTGGCTTTTCTTTCTGTCATCCCTTCAGAAATTCTAAAAAGGAGTTAAATGACATCCGCTTTGAATTTATGCCAGGAAGAGGTAAGCGGACTTTCTTTTCAAAGCCAGTTTTGTTAATCAAAACCCAGCCTCTGTCTGCTGGCATCTCCCACATTTACAAAATATCCTGTGGTTCAGACTTTTTGGCTGAGGATGCTACATTTTGGGTAACTGGTAAGAGACGGTGCCGGATTTAGTTAAACGTCCCTTGGTCTATCAGTTATTCTACACAGTAACCAATCTGGTGACTTGAACTCTTGAGAAACCAGAGCTAAAACTTGCTCGTCATTATTAAATTGTTAAAAGTGCTGAAACATTTTTTTTCTTTTAGGAGGTCAGTTCTCTGTACTGTTTCCCAAACTGAAAGAGAATCGATGAGTTTTGACAGTTGCATTGGGAACCATTATGATGTGGAAATGATTAAGCCACAGTGACATTTTGTTAATATTTGTTTTTTTTATAAAAACAGTTTTTGTTTAGCTCCACATGTCACAGTCATCCTCATGTTCTGACTTTTCAGACACAGCAGATGGTGTGTCCCAGGAGCTGGTGTCAGCAGGCCTGGTTGATGGGAGAGACTTGGTAATAGGTCAGTAATTAAAAAACAAACAAACTTTGCACTGTCCAGAAACATTGTTTCCCTCAGAATCTGCACCCGAAGGTTAAAAACTGTCTTTTGGTTTTATGCTGAATAGGCTCATACAGTGCAACACAGTCTCATTTTCTCACAGTAGGCCTCATGCAGTACCCCTCGTACAAACAGAGGCACATGGAGTACTAGTGATTCAAGATAACTTTCACATTTATGGATCCTCTGGTACTTAGAATTTTTTACATATACAAACCAAATTCATGACTCTGCCATATGAATCTTAAGCAGTCAGCCAGCCTTACCAAGAGGTACATTCACCTTGACTTGCCAATTTAGTGGCAGTTTAAACAGAAGAGATTAAATCAAACTGGAGGGTAACATGAAGCTAATAAGTTACACAAGCTTTCTACATTTTTGAACTCTGGCTCTGCTCCCGTAGTTATGATAATTATTATCTGGACCACTTGTGACTTTCACCAAAGTTGAGCTTTAAACAGAACAGTTTCACAGCTCAATTTCCTCTTATTGCAGCAACTCCTGCATGTACACATGAACAAATGGTTTTCATCAGGTCGATACAAGTTTATGCAAATAAGACAGTTTAGTAAATTACACTTGTAGTCATAGTATGAATAAGCCTTACAGAAAAATGATTGCATGAGGCCCAGTGTATCATATCTTCTTACTTTCTGAACTTGCAGTGCACAGCTTATGTTACACATTTTCTGTTTTTAGACATTCAAGATACTTTTTTGTTTTGCACTGGACTAAAGCGCTGATTTTCTTTTCAGTTGCTGCAAATTTGCAGAAAATAGTTGATGAACCTCAAGCCAATAAAAATATCACTTTCAAACTGGTGAGTGAAACATTTTTTCACTCAGGCCTTTTCCAGCCTGTAGATTATGCTCTCACTTCTGCCTTTGTCTGTATAAACTTTAAATGTTGTTTTCACATACTTTTGCAAGCTTTGCTGTTTGGTCGACCTGAATTTTACTATAGTTTATTAATCTAACAAAACTGTCTACTGACTGTTTTTGACAAATTACAGTCTCCTGACAATCTAAATATAAATAAAGATTTCACTTGAGTCTTAAATAGAGATGTAACGATATTTGTAATTTCATGATAGCGCAATAGAAAAATGTCTTGATACCATCATGGGACTATGATGGTACCTACCAGGATTTTACATATGGTTATATTGCTAGTATAACTGTGTTCAGGTGGCAGAATTTGGAAACATGGCGGATGCTCCATCATTGACCTTTTTTAGCTGTTAAGTGGCAAGATTTCAGTTTTCCCGTTTCAAGAAATGACACAGGCGGAAAGGAAAATCTCAAACGCTGGACAATTTGCAGATGCTGATGGATGAAGGCAATGCTACTTTAGAACTGAGACAATCCTAGAAACAGCTTCGTGCAACACTTTAATGGAGATGGGCAAACAAACCGAATGCATATACACAAAACCAACCACTTTACCGCCCTTAAAGTCTTTTCTCTTGAAAAAGTAGAACATGATGTTTGAGAACCAGCTCCAGTGAAGCACAAATCTCACCTCTCTATGTGGCTTCCGAGTGTAGTTTGGCGTCGTCTTCTCTTCGTTCTGGTGTGCCAAGCAGGAAATTGCTCACGCTTGCCCCCAGATGTGAGAGCCTAACCATTAGTCAGCAAAGCCACCAAACAGCGAAAGTAAAACTTGCCCGGGGGGGAACTAAAAACGCTGATGTTCCTCTGTGAGTCTGACTTGTTTTGTTTGCAAGATCCGGCTGCTGCAGTAGTATATTATTTTGCTTTGTTTCATAAAATGACTGCTACTGACTGTTGCATTATATTCTTTGCTTTTAAGTTGTACAGACAGTTCAGTCATTCAGTGCCAGTGACTATTCAAGCCATGTTTTTGCACATGCTTAGGTCATGGCTGGCTACTTTTATTTTAATAAAACAGGAAGGCAGGAGCACTTTAAATTCAAAGGGAAATCATACCACAAAATGCAGATTTATTATTTAGTAAGGGGCTTTTTAAAAAATCTTATTTCTTCATGATTAACATTGTGATAAATATCGTATCGCAGACGTTTTATCGTGGCAGTATTGTACCATGAGGTTTTGGTATCGTTACATCCCTAGCCTTAAGTGAATATATTGTACTGTCACTGCTCAAACACCATTTTTACTTGTTCCTTATTGTTTTCAAAGGCTTCTGGGATTGAGGGATCTGAAATACCAGATGACGTCAAACTGATGGGCTTTGCTCAGCTCAGCATTAGTTAAGCTGCTGTTCTACCTGGGACCGTGACCTGCCTAAAAATGTGAAAGAAAAAAGTTAAATTCATTATTTTCATTCTATGGCTGTAAAGAAACCACTACTGCCAAAGAAAACGGTACGTTTGTCACCCATAGGATTTATACAGCACTGCTTAGTTGTATTAGGAGGTCGGCTGAAGTATCAGAACGTACAGTAAAGGAATCACTCAAAAATGTTTACAGTGTATATGTAGAAGGATGCAAGTGTCAACAGTTTCCATTTCCTGTTCTAGCCTCCCTCTGTTAATTTTGTCTCTCTAACACATGATGAATTTGCACAATCTAAGCGAATGCCCGTGAATTCTAATACAGTGTAACAATGCCTTATAATCATTAAAACTACTGAATGCATGTTTGGGGGGGGAGTCTCCAGGAACCATTTGGAAAATTATATTGTGTGAAATGTACAAATGTGGTTTCAGTTGCTAATGTCAAAACTGTTACTTTATTTTGAAAGGGGCAACTTACTAAGCCAACTTGAATTTATACACGTTTTATACACAGCCCAAAATAATTTCTCACCGAAAAATACTGATGCAATGTGACACAAATGCAATGCCAAAATATTCCCAACTATAACAGTTATTAAAATGTAAGGATAGTTGTTTTTTTGTTGTATTTTTCATGAACAAATCTAATAAAAAGACCAAAAACCAAGAAAGTGTGCATTCCTCAATACGTTCTTAAGCCTTTTTTTTTTCTTAAGAAAAATAAGTCACAAATACAGTTTTATTTTTAGAACTGGCAAAAGAAAAATCCCAAAACATTTAGGATCTGTAGTTATTATCAAATGTTACTCAAGCAGAAGTAAATGAGCATCTGTTGGGGGCTGTTATCAGCTGTACACATTTAATGCCGAGACAGCAGACAGTGTATCTGGAATTGACTACAGCGCCCATGTTCAATCACACCATGTCAGCCAGTGTAATGGTGTAGCTCATTAATGTGGTTCAATAGTTTTTAGATAACAATGGAAGTCTGCGGCACAGCGGTAAAAACTACTACAGTGTATACCAGCCTTTCACTATACAGACACTACTTGAAAGATCAATAAACTCAAGATCAGTTTCTTGTCTGGTTTGTTATAGATTTGGAATATAAATTTCAGCTAACTGATCCAATAATAAATGTTTGGAAACAGTAGAACATGCTAATGCTCACTTGTTTTTATTTTTAGGCTACATGAGCTAGTGTTTCTTTTTAGGGGACAGTAGTAGAATTGCATTGAAAGTTGCCTTGTTCTTAAAATTGGTTGTCATCTTGATTTGATTGTATGTCTAAATGGTTGAAGTTAAAGGTTTGGCAGAAGCTGTAACCACACTTGTATGTGTCTGCCTGTTGGTATCAGTGTGTCTGTTGATGAAGAATAAGTACTTGATTTAGCCTTTAATGTGTAAATAACATTTGGCTTTTGTTTGTTTTGTTTTTTTGTACTGGGTGTTTCAAACTCAGTCTTTTTTTCTGTCTCGTGACACGACTGTGAGTAACACTGTGTGAAGGAAGACAACACTGCAAATCTGGCTTTGAATCCCATTGTTTTGCAGGACATATTGTCACTTACTGTATGTGTGAAGCTTTATTGTATGTATTTACTCAAAAAATGTCCACTTTTCACTTTTTGCCTTTAAAAGTTGGAATTCTGTCAAGTAGCCACAGCTGTCCTGATGCTCTGCTTAATGTCTGCCCACCTTAAATTTCCCCAGGTGTTGGACACAGCAAAATTCTCTCTAGCTCTTAATAAATACCAAAAGGAATAGTTGTACATTATCAACGTAGTTATTTTAACCCTGAAATTATGCAGCTGTTTTAGTTACTTGTTAATTAAACATTATTATTGAAAGACCAGAAATGTATTTTGCATTTGGATGAAAAACGCCACAGCAGATGTTGCATCCTTTCAACCATACGCTGGATGTATTTTTTTTTTTTGTTTGTTTTATCATTATTATTTTTGAATTAATGACATGGTTTAATGATGAATGTGCATCTCGCAGTTATTTGCACCAACAGTAGTGAGAGGTTTGGGGTTTCACTGGTTTTATTTTGGTGATGTGATAATAACATAACTCTCCAGATGCCATATTGAATGAAATTCTGCAATTTCTTGCTTGCAGATGGAATCTTTGTATTTTGACTTTAATTGTAAAATGTTGTGCTAGCCTTAAATTGAAAATGACCAAGTGTATTTTTTCTTTTGACATCACGTCAAGGTTTTGACTCTGTGTGTGCTGCAGATTGAGCTTTGCTTCTAGTAGAGTTGAAGATCTGATGCCTTTGTTCTCATTTTTTTTCTCCAACAGTCTCTTTTGTCCTGCTTACATGTAGTTTAACAAAGCTCTAGCAACTGAACAGACCGGCAGAAACACAGGCAATAACTCACTCAAGGCTGTAACTGAATTTTCCACCTGTTTTCAATTTTTTCATATTTTATTTGCTCTCTTTTTGATCGTTTTGGAGTTCAAAGCATGGTTGTTTATTATTTTTAATCAATAAAGAATGAGCATATCAGCTTCCTCTTAGCTTGAATTTTTTTTAACATAAAGCATTGTCTCTAACTGAAGAAGTTGTTTTTGTAAATAAGTAACCATGATGCACTGCAATGATGCAGTGAAAACCAGTCACCTACATATACTGAACTGGCTCTAGTCTAGCACAGCTTCAGGTACTGTGCCATAATGGCTTTAAATACAATATTCGATTCTCATCCTGTGTAGTCTCATGCTCATTCTTTGAGAGGTTTGTATTTCTAAAATAGTTTTTTTTAATACCAGTTTCACACTTGAGGGTTTGCTCCTTTTCTCTCAAGTTTATTAACCTGACTATCAGTAGGGATGATAACAGTTTTTATAGACCTTTCACCTGGTCTTTGTAGACTTTCCATTTTGTAATCATTAAAGGCAAGGCAAGTTTATTTCTATAGCACATTTTTTTACACAAAGGTCATTTAAAGTGCTTAACACAATGCACACAAATGGATAAAACATTAAAATGCATACATAGATAAAGCAATGCAAATCAGATTAAAACATTAAATGCACATTAAAAGCAACCATTACATGGCAGCACAAAGTGACAACATGCAGTATAGAGACCTACAGTAGTACTTTTAGGATAGCTGTAGCACTGTGGGTTCTCGTTGCTTTCATTATACTTTGTACTCTTTTTTTTATTCAATCTTCCCAAGACTAACCTCTGAGTACTTTAACATCAGAGGCGGGCATACTTTCCTCCATTTGAAACCTCAGTGTTAGCTAAACAGTCTTATAACAGACTAGATTAAACTAGATTCTCATTGTTCTCAGTAAAGCTTACTCTAGCAATTTAGTATTGCACCGTTTTAAAGTTTTAGGAGACATCGTAAAGTTGTTTAAAAAAATGTTGGCAGATATCCTGGCCTTTATTTTAATATGGATCAATACTGTCAATCTGTTAACGGGTTGATTGGTTATAAAAACACTGCGACTGGAAGTTTAAACATTAACTTGTTGGAAGAGTGCGAAGTCGTTTGTTGGTGACTGGACATCATTTAAAGCCAGACTGCACTCTGAGGACTTTCTGATACCAAGATGAGCAACTTTGCACAGATCCTGAAGGAGATTGGGGAGTTTGGCTTATTTCAGAAACGTGTAGTGGCTTTATTATGTTTCACCAATGTTTTTGTAGGTTTTGATGTGGTTTCTCAGGTGTTTACAGGGATGAACTTCCCACACCACTGTAACACTGACTGGATTTTGAACATAGGGCCCAACCTGACAGAGGAGGAACAAAGAAATCTCACCATCCCTGTAAACAAAGATGGGAAGTATGAAAGCTGTAAAATGTTCACGCCTGTGCATTGGGATTTGGAGACCATTGAAGCATATGGGATTAACACAACAACAGGATGCATGAATGGGACAGATTTTGAGGCACCCAAAGGTGCTTCCAGCATTGTGACAGAGGTAAGTGATCAGCAAGTTGAATTTTAGTCACCACTGTATTGTTCTGGTAACATTTATTGGTATTGGTAAAAATCACACTTAAAATGTCTCCGTTTGTTTGACTGAAAATAACCCTAAAACACAATTTCAAAACACAAAATTTACACAAGTGGAAATAAATACATCAATCAAGTACATAAAGCAATAATTCATAAGTCACCAAGCACATTTACAACTAGTTGTAATGATAAACTGATAGGCATCAACTATCACTGTCCTGTCCTGACACAATTTAAAAATCAATCATTGACTACGATTTGCAGTTTTTAAAAGTATCACATCCTGAGTACTGCTAAACCAAATTTAGTATTTTCTTTGTTCTACTCCTTTCTTTTTCCTTCTCATTATGAGTTCAACACTGTGTGTGACAAGAGCAGCTTGATTGAGGCATCACAGTCCATCTACATGGCTGGTCTTCTGGTTGGAGCGCTGGTGCTGGGGCAGATGGCTGACAGGTCCAGATCACAATTCTAATGCAACTGGGCAAAAATAAAAACTAGCTAAATGTAATTTGCTAATAAAAAAAAGAATACAAAACTGAGGTACCAACCGTTTTCTTCTTTTTGCAGGTTTGGTCGACGCTTCGTGGTCCTGCTTTCTCTCCTTATTCTACTGTGTTTTGGTGTTGGAACCGCTTTCTCACCCAACATCTACGTTTACATGGTTATCAGATTTTTCTGTGGCATCTCTATTTCAGGCATTTGTGTTAATGCATTTGTGATAGGTAGGTACAAAATTCAGAACTGAAATAATACTTCATCGATATTATTGCTGTCTGCCCCTGTCAGCTGCCAGAGTGAAACAGCTTTAAACTGTATAGTGGCTTTAAGTCGCTGATAAATGTACTAGCTGCAGACCTAAAATTGATGCAAAAACACAAGCTGGAAAAATGCAATTGTGCTGGTGTGCAAAAAGTGATAAACTGTACCTTAATGCACAAAGCATATGATGATATCTATGCTTGTGTATTGAAGCTAATACACAAAACTTTAATTCTAACTCTCTTGAAGGTGGTGAATGGAGTGATTCTTCCAAGTTTGCTCTCTGCACCATTATCTGCCACTTCTTTTGCTCTTTTGGACTGATCATGGTGTCTGGCATTGCCTATTTGATCCGCAACTGGAGGATCCTGCAGCTGGTGCTCTTCAGCCCTGTTGTCCTCGCCCTGGGAATCTGTTTTTGGTCAGCAGCCTCTTGGGCCACACTTCATGCTTATTTCCAACATTATACCCACAGAAAAACAAATAACATAAAGTGTACATTTGAGTTTGTGATCATGGACCTACGTATATGTCAACTAGGATTCTTCCAGAGTCAGCTCGCTGGCTCATCACCCAAGGCAGGAAGGAGGAGGCCATAAAGGAGATCCAGAGGGCAGCTAAGGTGAACAAAAGGAAGGTCCCAGAAGATCTGCTAAACAAGGTGAGCAACCTCTAACCAAAATCAAACATAACAAAGCTCTGAAATACTGTAAATGTAAACTAACTAAAAGACAAAATTGTTTAGTTGGAGGTTGATGATACATCCAAAAGAAGAAATATGTTGGACATCTTCAGGATATCGTATCTGAGACAACGTGCTGTCATAATGAGCTACGCCTGGTCAGTATTTATTTCAACGTCAATCTGCTCTCACACCTACATTACATTTTTGGTGGCACTGACAAAAACTATCCCACTAATTAGGTTTGCAACAAGTCTGATGTACTACGGACTGAGCTGGAATGTTGGAAACTTTGGTCTGGATATTTACCTCACACAGTTCATCTTTGGTCTAGTAGAAATACCTGCCCGTCTGGGCACTTTGGCTTTCATGCAACGTTTTGGGAGGAGAATATCTCAAGCAGGGGCTCTGTTGTTTGGAGGTTGTGCTTGCCTTGGGATACTCACTATTCCAAAAGGTAATTTGTGTATGATAAGAGGACTTTGTTGTAATCTATCTTGAGCATATCTCCACCCAATAAAGAAATACAATGCACCATATAGAGCTTCTGTGGGCCTTGGTACATCCATTATTATCTACTAATCTACAGCATGTTTTGCACTCTGACAATGTGCTTTGTCTGATTTATTATTTGTCCATCAGACCTTCCTGTTGTGGTAACAGTCTTAGCTGGACTGGGAAAATTTGCTGCCACTGCCAGTTTCTCTACGGTATATGTTTATACTGCAGAACTATACCCCACCATTTTAAGGTAAGTTGTAAAGTATCCCTTAGTTAAAACAAAACATTTGTTATCAGTCATGTTTGCTGTTAATTTCTGATGAATCCATTGTTTATACTGGTAGGCAGAATGGTGTAGGTTTGAACTCCATGTGCGCTCGTGTGGCGGGCATCTTCGCTCCACTGATCAGGCTGCTGAGCGTCTATCATCACACCATCCCCATGCTGATATATGGCATCATCCCCGTTGTGGCTGGAGCTTTATGCTTTCTGCTTCCTGAAACCTGCAATGTTGAACTCCAAGAACTCATGTGAGTCGATGAATACTTTTACAGCAGAAAATGTATTTTGTTTACAAGAAAAACAAAGCAATTATATACAAATGTCTTGTTTTTAATTCCAGAAAACCCGAGAACGGGACTGCTGAGAAAGAATCCTCCACTAAAGATGACAAAATAGAAAAGAGCACAAAAATATAATTTATACGGACACAAAGATTTTCACAGTTTTTTTTGTATCAGATATAAAAAAACTGTTTTCTCTCAACTGATACAGTGAAAATGAAAGCATGTAAGCAGTTGGCTAAAATGCTTAACTTATACAACTTATTCAACTTACATTATTAGAGAAAATGTTATTTTTGCAGTAACAATCTGCTAAAATGTGTTTTAGATGTAGATTATTTAATTAAAATTTGTGTACTTGCTATACACTTATTTATCTCAACACACACGCAATTAACAAACTGCAAATACTTCGTTATTGTACTTAAGTAGATTTTTCAGGCATCTGTACTCTACTTGAGTATTTATTTTTCTGGCAACTTTTTACTTTTACTCCCTAGGTTTTAAACAAATATCTGTATTTTGTACTCCTTACATTTTTCAAGTCAGGCTCCTTACTAGTTTTAATTTGAGGGGAATTATCGATTAGATTACTTTGAGTACACTTCAGAGCCTGTACTTTTTTAACTTTTACTTGAGTAACGAGTCTGAATTAGTGACTTCTACTTTTACCTGTCTTTTTATTTACACAGGTATCTGTACTTCTGTACTTGAGTAATGAATGTGTGTACTTGTGCCACCTCTGGCATTCGCTGTAGCAGCTAAACACTAATGTTAAATGTGTAAAACAACGTTCATTGTTGTGGAGTACCATAGTATAAAAATACTCTGTTACAATTAAAAGTCATAGAATAAAAAATGTCCCTACTGTAAGTACAAAATTATTAGCATAATATAATTAAACTACCAAAGTAAAAGTACTCATTATGCAGACATGGCACATTTTACATTAATTTATATTGTGTTGTTGGTTTATAACTACTGAAGTGTTATTGTGGGCATCATCTGAATGTTGCAGATAGTAAAGGTGGAGCTAATTTAACTACTCTTTATGCTTATCATTTGAAGTACTTTACATACTGCTGGGTAGCTTGTGAATGTCCTAGTGGGGAGAAATAAAGTCTTGCAATTCTGTATATTATGTGTATCTCTTGACACCAGATTTTCAACAAGCCTTCTTTGTTACGAACTGAGTCTGAGCTTTGGCAGTTTAAGCCTGCATGTACAACTCACAGTTTGTCTTTGGTATTGTTAAAAATATATGGAAGGAGAACATGTCAAGTAGATTGGATTTTAACTGGGGAGGCCTTGTGGACTTTCCCTAAATGATATCTTGGTATAGTTGCTTTATTAAACACAAAACCCAAACTGCAATTAACACTGTGGAAAGATTTTTATTTTACTCTTACAAAAAAATCAGTGCAGTTTACTTACAACTACAATTAAAAGAAAAACTTTATACTTACAATTGAATATTTAATGAATTTAAGTGCTCCTCACTCAGATAAAATGTAGAATCCTGATTTAAAGATTACACTGAACAACTAAAAAAAGCAATAGGCAGTTAAATGAAACTGAATAGCCTGAAGACAATTACGTGTCAGCATGTGTCATACTTGTACTGCACAGTTTATCTTAATGATTTAACTATTGATGCAGTTAAGTTGTGCTTTATGTGTGTACACTATTAATCACCATCACATCAATGAAACAGACTGTAAAATTTAGATGCATGGTGCCTCAAACAAATCTTCAAGAAGATTTTCTGTGTCACAGTCACCATCCCATCAGCTGAGGACAAATGCAGTACAGTTTTAATGGAACCAAGCCACTCTCCTAATTAATCATAAATGCAGATCAGTTTGGCTTTGCCTGCTGGTACATTTACAGTGTATATCTATGCCTCTGATTCATCGTGCACCGCCCCAGCAGTACTTCTAAGAAGCCATCGGTTCTTGTGTTGAGTGTGTCCAAAGCCCTCATCATAATTTCCCTTTCTTCGGAAGAGTTGTCGGTAGTGAAATATACAGTAGAATTCCCCATATAAAGGTGCATAACTGTACATGCTGCAAAATGAGCACAATTGTCAGTTACAGTGAAAATGAATAACATATTTGGCTTTAGGAAATGATGTGAGTGATTTAGAGCTCACCAGCATTTAGTGATTTGTAAATCAATCCCTTAGATTTCATTTAGTTTCACTGAACATTTTCTAAATTGTCCATGAAAAGCTCAAATGCCAGCGGTTCCTAAACATTTTATTTGATACTTGTCATTGTTGGAAGAGTATAGAGGTCGAACTAATGCCAAGCAATATTCCAGCAAATACATATAGTATTGCAATACAATGATTCTTACACCTGTGTCTGACAAGTCAAACTATCTCTTATGCTTAAGGACTATTCAACTTCATAGTTTGTTTTTTTTAAACTCTTGTCCCTTGGGTCGTGTGACACACTTGTCTGGGAACCAGTGTTCTGAAGTCACATTACACAAAGACAGTAATTTGCAGTTACTTTTATTCCCTAAATAGACTGTAAAAAGCATGGTTTATGTTGCATATGACTAAATTCAATACTGAGAATAACTGATTAATATTATATCTTACCTTAATTTTTTCTTGCACAGTTTACAACAGAAGCAAGTTTTGTGAAAAATGTATTTGTCTGTAGTTATTTTTTCCATCGGATAAACTGGCTTGAAACAGGCTGAGCACATCTCTCGACAATTTGGTTGGAACTGATGAGAAAAATCAGATTTTGAGCTTAGTTAAACCAGCACTGAGCATTATTATTAACAAATACAAACGTACTGTATACATCAAAACAAAGCAAAAGAATGAGTATTTCATTTGTAACACGTGTCAAAACATTTTAAAGAACACGACTTAATTGTAAGTATCCAAGCATGAGTAAAGTAAGCATCTAAAACCAGTAATAATCAGAAGCATAACTGATTTCTTAGCAAACAATATTATGTACATAAAAACTTGAAAGTCGCTGCCAGTCTGCTAGCCGGCTTCTGACTGATCGGCAGCCGAACTTCTGGGTATGCTGTGACCTCATATGTAGCCTGAGTGACCTCTGCCTGATCTGTGGGGGACGTCATGGTTTCTGGCTGAGTATTGACGACAGTGGAAGTTTTAGTGGAATAAAAGCGGTTACCAAAGTTATCAGTCCGTTCATAGTTCTCTGTGATGATTTTTGTGCCTGGAATACTGTTCACTGCACAGTCAGTCTGTACCTCCAACAAAGGGGTTTTGTTTAGCTCTGTAAGTGGATTGCTTTTGACCTTCTTTTCTGGGGTCACTGTTTCTGTTTAAAGCAGGGTTGTGGCATGTCAGGGTCTTCGTTGTCCGGAATTTCTCCTCTGTCTTTAGGTTGTGCTGGCATGTTGGGCAGATTGCGGTCTCTGCCGGCATCCTCTCTGTTTTTCTAGCGGCTGAATGAATGGAGATGAAGGCGGGTGATGATGGTGGACTTGCTGGTTGATTTCCAGAGACTGTTTCTGTGCCTGCACCTTGCCCAGCTGACAGGGATTTGATTTTCTTCATGTCAGGGCTTTCCTGTGCCTGTGGTGGTTTCGTCCTGTTTGACCCGATGCTAATTTTGCTAATATTTCTGGATGGTGGAGATTTTTCCACTGCGCCTAAGGACTCTTTAAACAGGCGTGATAAACCAGCAATATCTGAGTCAGATTTCAAAGTGGAGACGGAATAAAGAGCCTTTTTTATGGCTTCTTCTATGTCCATAAGTCTGGCTAAAGTCTGCTCTTTTAGATTCATGATTTCCTCACTGGCTCTCTCAAGATCTACAAAAACATGTGCCATGGCTGACTTGCTCTCAGTGATGTCTTTTGTTAACTTCTCTCTGGGTTCCACTTGTACCTTTCTTTGTTTCTCTATGTTGGAGCTGACCACCCAGTCAGACATGTTCTCACGTACTGTCCTCAGAGACCTTACATCAGCTTTGCTTGTGTCCTGTTCAATTTGTTCAACTTGACTGAGAATACCCTGTAGTTCCTCCTGCTTTCGCAAGTTGTCCATAATCTCCATGGCTGCCGTTATGTTCCCCCTCATGATCTCATCCATGTGCACTGACAGCCGCTGTCGGCGTTCGTCCTCTGTCTCTGTCCGTCCCTTTTTCTCCCTCATCTCAACTTTGTTTTCTTGTTTTGATTCTTTCTTGTGCCTCTCATTAATATCGGCAGTGTGTTCACAGGTACTGAATAATGGATCAGTCAGAGTTTGTCGTGGTTTTGTATCCACATGTGTGCTAATAGGTGAATTATTATCTCCATGTGTGTTTTTTAGGTTTTTGGTGTCAGACTGGGCAGTTTTAATTTCTTTGGGCTTTACAGGAGCATTCTTCTTTTTACCTCCAAATTTCTGACATGCTTCGTGAAAATTTATATGGCTTTCATCTGTGTCAGTCGTGTTATCTTGGACTGGGAAATTCTGGGGTCCTTTTTCTTCTGCTGTTGCATTTTTCATCTCAGAGTGAATATTAACATTCTTATTCAGGGGTCTAATTTGACTTTCCGGAGACATAGCTTCAGTTTTACTACCCACTCCTGAATCTGAACCACGGTTTATTTTGGATGGTTCTTTCATAAATTCATCCATATATAACACTGATTTTGCTGGTTGAGGAAATGTTTTGTCTTTTGATAGCATTTTCACCTCAGGTCTTAGAGTAGCCATTTGGGTTGCTTTGGGTTTTTTTGTGCTGTCTGATTGACTGTCTCTTTGTTTCACTTTGAGATGCTCAGGTTTAGGTGGGATGGTTGGTTTTGAACCAGTGGGGCTTTTGGTTTTCTCAGAGACACCTGGTCTATTGAGAGCTTCACGTTGGCTTTGGGGCTCTGCATTTGTTGCAGTCACCTCTCCTTTGGGTAACTCTTGTCTCAGTGGTACTTGAGTTGATGTAGTTTCAGTCACAGGGCAGAACACCTCCATAGTGGACTTC